AAATAGGCTCAAGGTAGATAGAGGGTGCACTTCCTAACAACTTGCCTTTACCTTAGGGGAAAGGATAAACTTGATGAACCATGTGTTACACATTTTGAGGAAGACGTTTAAGAAATCGCTAGCAAGGCCAGGCGCAGTGGCTCACACCTGTAATCCCAGCACTTTGGGAGGCCGAGGCGGGCAGATCATGAGGTCAGGAGATGGAGACCATCCTGGCTAACATGGTGAAACCCTGTCTCTACTAAAATTACAAAAAAATTAGCCAGGCGTGGTGGCAGGTACCTGTAGTCCCAGCTACTCGGGAGGCTGAGGCAGGAGAATGGTGTGAACCTGGGAAGGGACTTGCAGTGAGCCAATATCGCACCACTACGCTCCAGCCTGGGCGACAGAGTGAGACTCCATCTCAAACAAAAAAAGAAAAGAAAAAAGAAAAACACTAGCAAAAAGTATCAGAAATAGTACATATTTTGCACAGACTCAGCCATAGAACAGAGATCAGTCACGACTCTCAGACAAATTTCTTTAAGTCCCACATCTCATGGAAACAGTCAGCCCAAATGAGCAGAGTCATCTGAATATAGACGCCAGTTACAGAGCAATAAATGCATGCGGTTTAAGAAATATTTTCTAAAACTTCCAGACCTTGATACAGGAACAAAAAGACTACTTCGAAAATGCTTAAGAAAGGGACAAAGTTGCCAGAATTCAAATAGTGGTTGCTGTGATCTGAATATTTGTGTCCTCCCCAGACATTATATGTTAGACTCCTAACCCCCAAGTGATGGTTTAGGAGGCTAAGTTTGGGGAAGGTGATTAGGTCATGTGGGGAGAGCCTTCATGAATGGGATCAGTGCCCTTATAAAAGCAGCCCAAGAGACATCCTTTGTTCCTTCCGACAGGTGAGGACACAGCAAGCAGGCATTGTCTAAGAGCCAAAAAGTAGGCCCTCACCAGACACTGAATCAGCCTTGATCTTGCACTTCTCAGCCTATACGGCTATGAGAAATAGACTTCTGTTGTTTATAAACTACCCAGTTTTTGTTATAGCAGCTTAACTAACACAGTGGCCAACATATAATAATAGTGTGGTAGCCACAGATGTGCACTGCCCAGCTTGGCCAAGAGAGGACCTGCTACAGAGCGTGGTGAGCCAACAGTTCCAGATCCACCATCTTCAAGATCAACTTCAGCACTGTTCCCGGACTTCCCCTGGCCAACACCTGAGCACAGAGTGGGTACTGGAGCCAGGCCATGCCTGCCCAATGCAGGATTCCTTCAATAGACAACCTTTGCTTTGAACATCCCATTAGCTTCACCAAGTCTTTCCCAAGGAACACTGCAGTCTTCAGCTCTTCAAACCAAATCAGTCTTCTGTCTCCCTCTCTTTCCACAGGTGTGAGACATGCACTGCGATGTAAAGCCTCTCCTTGCCTGTCCCTGCTCCCCCCACCCGTTGTCATTCACAGGTGTGTCCTCCAATAAGTCTCTTTCACTTCTAATTCCATCATGGTGTTCACTTCCTGAAGGACCTAAACTGCTACCAACAAATATATAAATCAATGTAATTCTGGCTCATCTCCCTGGGAGATAAAATAATGCTGAAAGTCTAAGTGAATGTTAACTATGGAGAGAACGAACTAATAATCAAAAGCCCACTCCTGCTATAGCTAACACAGTCCCTCCATAATGACATTAATACATTCATGAGGGTGGAGCCCTCATGGCCTAATCAGCTCTAAAAGGCTCCAGTTCTCAACAATGTTACAATGGCAATTAAATTTCTATGTGAGTTTTGAAGGGGACATTCAAACCATAGAAACAACTCTCAAATAAAGTCTGCATTAGAAAACATCCAGGATTGTGAATTTGCTCTTCGAAAGGCCTTTCAGAGGCATTTCCATTCTTCTTTACCAATGATTTTTCAAGCTTCAATTCATTCCAGGTTTGTGTACTTCATCAAGCTTCCTTTCCTGCATGGTTTGTGACTCTAAATTATTTACTCGCATCACCTCCATATAAATGTTTATTTTCTTTGTAAAGGAAGAGAATGGAGGCACAGTATAATTAACCTTCCCATGATGTTGTAGATACTGAGAATGAATTTTTATTAGAGGGAAGGGTGGGAGGAAAGAGAAACAGCAAGTGCCTGCTTCATCCCCTGAGTGCCACCTGCATTTAAGGGCACAGACAGTGCCTACCCGAGAGCATCATGCCCACAGATCAGCCCACACACAGTGCCACTGATAGCTGTGAGAACACAAAGGCTGAGATAAATGTGGCACACACTTTAAGACTGCACATATTGGTCATCAAAAGATGCCGAATGAGCCCCCAGAAATATGAGGCTTATTTTAAGTTTTAAAATCAGCTTTTAACTCCCCTACAAAAATAAGAGTTTTTTTCCTTTTTAAAGCCTTCAGAACCTCTAATTCTCAATCTGTTCAGAGTCTTACCTCCTTTTACAAACTAACAAAAATAGGCATGCAACCAACCTCTGAAACTCAGCATAAGAAATTGAAATTGCTTTTTCAGAGTTTCTTTGCAGATCAGCATCTTAAATCAGATATTAGGGAGCAGGGCACCTTCTCTATCCTTTAAGAAAGGAGAAAAAATGCTGTCTGGACTCAGTATAAGAAATCCCATTCCTCCTGATTCTAAAGAGGAAAGATAGCACTAGCAGATACAGGAAAAGCCTGATCAAAATTTATAGAAGAAGTCGGGAGGAGAGGAAAAGCAAGAAAGGGAGAGAGAAAGGAATAGGAAACAAACACTTATTGTGTACATTGTTTATATAACATCTCACTTAGTTCTTGCAATTATCCTATGAGATGGATGGTGCTTCTTCCATGAGGAAAACAAGACTGAAAGAGAAAAAATAACTTTCCCAAACATAAACACCTAGATCATGGCAGAACTGAAAGATTTAAAAGAATAGAAAAAGCATCCATTGTCCATTTAAAAAGCAGTAATTTTGAAAGGTGTGAATGTTGAAAAATTTCTTATAAGTTTAGCAAGAAATAAGAAATGGGCATGTTCTAATAGTAATTCATAGGATCCATTGTATTGACAGATTTGGAATAATAAACAGCTCATTTCTGAAAAAAATATAATTCCCTCAACTCAAAAGGCCTTTCAAAAAGCTTCTCAAATGAAATGGCCTTGACATTTGCCCCAGGTGAGTTAAACTTCACTAAGCTTAGTAAATGAGTCAATACCAACTGGGACACCACATTAATCTCATTTTCTTGATCCAGAAGAGCTCTCTGCAATAACTAGGTATTTGGAGGATGGGATTACACTCAAAAAATTCAATGGCATTTTATTTCCAGGAATTCTGCTACTAGACAAACTGTCTTCACATATCAGTGAAGAATTTTTCTGGTATCAAAGTTGATGTGAAGCAGTTTAGCAAATTCTATGCATACTGACTTCTCCCACTTGGAGCCCAGCTGCTGTGCAGTTTGGATATGGTTTTTTTGATCCCCCAAAATCTCATTTTAAAATGTGATCCTCAGTGTTGAAGGTGGGGCCTAATGGGAGATTTTTGGGTCATGGGGGTCTTGGATCTCTCACGAATGGCATCCTGCCATCCTTGCAGTAAAGAGTACGTTCTCGCTCTATTAGCTCCTGTGAGAGATGGTTGTTAAAAACAGCCTGGCACCTCACCCACCCTCTCTGCTGCTTCTCTCCCAATGTGATCTCCACACACTGGTCCCCTTCGCCTTCTACTATGAGTGGAAGTAGCTTCAGACCCTCATCAGAAGCAGATGTTGGTCCTATGCTTCCTGTACAGCCTGCAGAATCATGAGCCGAATAAAGCTCTTTTCTTTGTAAGTTACTCAGCCTCAGGTACTCCTTTATAGCCACACAAACAGACTAAGACACCAGCTAAATCTCTTTTGAAGACAGTGTAATATGTAAGCTTATAGTGCAAAAGTTTTTAAGTTAAAAGCTGCATTTCCCAGACTGCCCTGAGATAGGGTTCTGGGAGTGGTATAAGTAGTGACACTCAGTAATTCTTGCACAAGTCATGAATTGAAAACTGAGTTAACCAGGGGAAAAGGCTATGGCAGACTTCTCACGTTTTGTTGGTGCAAATCTAGCAGGCACAGTATGTCCCCAGAGTTGACAGTTTTGGCACAAATTTTCTGACATTCAGATTAAGCTAAGGTGGGGTAATCCTGAAAACAGAGCCAGCAGTGGGGACAGTGGCTTCTCTAATTCCTGCTGTAGCACAGAGTTCAAAAGAGTCAATCCCCAAAGCTTAGCCTGCAGCCCACAAGCACCCACTTCCCCGTTTCAAATCAGTTCATGTTTTAAAATAGCTAGAAAAGTTTATCTGTTACAACAGCCTGACTGGCATATAAAAGGCATCCATCTCAGTAAACAATGAACAGTTCCTTAAAACAAAATCTTTATTCTTTGCTAATTTATAGACCCTATCCATCACTAAATCTTATCAGCACTATTTTCAACATGTCTTCTACATCATGCCTTTTCTCATCACCATCCCCTGCCCATAGGGGTGCTAACTCCTTCCCATGGACCCCCCCAAAAAATCACAATATTTAAAAGAATCAGAGAAACAGTGTTTTCTTTGGAAAATATTGACTGTAAGTGGAGAGTAATATTAGATAAGTATTTGAATGAGCACAAGATAATATAGCCTTTACGAAACCGCCATAGAATACTAAAAACTATAAAATAAGCTGAAAAAAGTTAAGAAAGACCTAAAATAATGGAGATATAATCACATTTATGGTCAAGAGATTCAATATTGTTAATATGCCAATTCTCCAAAATTTATCTGCAGATTCAAAGTCATCCTCATCAAGAAAGTAGCAGTTTCTGAATAAATAAAAGTTGAAAAGCTAAATCTAAAAATTAATTTAGAAAAGCAAACAACCTGGAATAGCCAAAATGATATGCTATTTCAAAAAGAAAACAAAGATATCAGGCCTTATATTAACTGATTTTATTTACTATAAAGTTTCAGATATCAAAATAATGAGGTGTTGGCTTAAAAATAATTACATAGCTCAAGAGAACAAAATAAGTATTCCAAAAAGTAGGCTTACAAATATCAGGTAAATTGGTGTGACGTTTAATATTAAGTGTCAACTTGATTGAACTGAGGGATGCCTAGATGGTTGGCAATGTGTTGTTTCTGGGTGTGTATGTGAGACCATGCCAGAGAATATTGACATTTGAGGTGGTGGACTGGGAGAAGAAGACCCACCCTCAACGTGGGTGGGCATCATCCAATGGGTCGCCAGCCAGCTAGAACAGAGCAGGTGGAAGAAGATGGGATAGTATTGCTTGCCAAGTCTCCTGGCTTCCTTCCTTTTCCCATGGTGGATGCTTGCTTCCACTTCTCCTGCCCTTGAACATCAGACTCCAGGTTCTTCAGTCTTTGGACTCTGCGACTTGCACTAGTGGCTTCCCTAGGCTCTTGGGCCTTCAGCAGCAGACTAAAGGTTGTGCTGTTGGCTTCCCTGGTTTTGAAGCATTTGGACTTGGAGTGAGCCACTCTTTTCTTTCCCCAACTTGCAGACAGTCGATTATGGGACTTCGCCTTGTAATCACATGAGCCAATTCTCACTAATAATCTCCCTTTAATATATACATATATCCCATTGGTTCTGTCCCTGTGGAGAACTGTGACTAGTACAATCAGTATTTGACAATAATGCCAAGCATTTAGTAGAGAAAAATACATTCTCTTTAATAATTAGGAAGGAAAATCCAAATACCCATATGAAAAGGAAATAGATTTCAATACTACTTCATAATACAAACAAATATTAATGTGAAATAAAACATAGTGCTAATTATAAAAGCTAAATCTACAAAACTTCTAGAAGGAAATATAAAACGTCTTTGGTTTCTTGGGGTAATCATAAACTTCTTAGAGCACGATAAGCAAAAATCATAAAAGAGAAACATCGATGAATTGGACTTCATTAGAACTTCTTCTCTGCAAAAGACACTGTCTTAGAAAATGAAAAGATAAGCGACAGACTGAGGGGGAGAAAGTATTTACAAAATACATAGCAATAGCATTAACAAAAAACCCATAATAAAAATGAACACTCTTCACCAAAAAAGATATGCAGATGACCAATTCCCACATCAAAGAGTGCTCATTATCATTAGTCATCAGGGTAATGCCAATAAAAATCACCATGAGACACCACTTCATACCCACTAGAGCAATGAAAAATCTCATAAACTGTTGATAAGAATGCAACATGATAAGCCACTTAAAAAAACACATTTTTACAATTTCCTATAAAGCTATGACCCAGCAATTTTGTTCTTAGATATTTGCCTAAGAAAAATGAGAACATACGTCCACACAAAGATTGCTATATGAATGTTCAGAGCAGTTTAATTCCTAATGGTCAAAATTCAAAACAATCCAAATGTTCCTCTGATGAAGGGATAAACTAAGTGTTTGTTTCATACAATGGAATGCTATTCAGCAGTAAAAAGGAATAAACCGCTGATACATGTAACAACATGGATGAGTCACACAATGCTAAATGATGAAAGACAAACAAAAATATGCACTATCATATTGGGATTATATGATCTTCTAGAAAAAGCAAAACTAAAGGAACAGAAAGCACATCAATAGTTGCCATTGACTAGGGGTAGGCAGAACAGATTGACTCCATAGGGGCATTAGATAACTTTTTTAGAAGGTAGAATTGTCTATACCTTGATTGTGACAGTTATGTGATTGTATACATTTAACAGTCATCATCAAACTGTACACTTAAATGAATAAATCTTAAAGATGCATTACACCTCAATGCTTCATATGAAAAATAAAAGAACGATAAGCTTGCTGGGAAGCTGCTGTGAAACACATAGGAGTACATGCATTGGGTCATATTTGCATCCAAAAATAATAGCTTCTATTACTCGTTTTGTCCCAAAGACTTAGGCATAAGAAGATAATGCTTTACTTTGGACTCTGATAAATAGAGGAATAAAGATTGAAAACATAAACTTCTAGTCTAGGCATCATCAATTTAAATACCTCAACGGGCCAGGACAATAACTGAAATGGGTGAAATAAGCAAGAAAAGGAACAGTCCGAGTGTGATGGTACATGGCAATTGACTTAACCACAGTGACAATGAAGAGTTGTTAAAACCTTGACAATGTGGAAAGTGTATATGCTCAGAGCATGGGATCAGCTCCCGTGGATTGCTGATGTGCAGGATGCAGGCCCAGTTTTGTCATCTTTCCAATTTCTTGAGAATTAATAAGTTTAGATTTTGGATGTTAAAGCTCTTAATCTAACCATGAATTAAAGTTTTCTGCAAGTCAGTATGTGGAATCCAAACCAAATGTGTTTGCATAACAGATTGAGCGATGTGCCATCAGTCTGGCACATATGCGCCATCAGTCAGCACCAACGGAATTAAAAATAGGGAATACATATCCAAACACTAAAGAAGAAAAAGTACAGAGAAAATATATTAATATAAATATACAGAATAAAAAAACGGTGACAGCTAACCTCCCCAAAACAGAAAGCATATAACAACATAAAAATGGTAAGACTAAATAGTTACAAAAATTCGTATTAACTTGCCAGATAGCTTTCTTAATGTCAAAGACATTAAGTTGGCTCAAAATAAACATGAAAATAAAGAACATATACCAGAAAGTTCATTTTAAACAAACCCTAGAAATAATTAGTAGAATGAGTAAAAACTACAAAAGAAGTTTGTCAGAGAAAAAAACCAAAATCCTTGCTGTCATATCAATATCAGAAAAAAATAAAATATAATGTTAATATCAGAAAAGTTAATATATGGAAAATGGCTTATTTTACATACATGGAGTTCAAAATAATAATATGATTGCTAACCCAAATAAAAATATTTCAATGTTTAAAAAGGAATAAAAAATAAATTTAAACTTTTTAAAAATATATTGAGATGGAAAAGACTTTTAAAAATCATATTGTCAAACCCTAAATTTATAAAGAAGAAAGAAAATGAAAGAGGATACATTTAACTACATAAAGATTAAAGGCAAAAACTTTTGTGAACAATTAAAACTGAAAGTGCATTTACAATGTGACACAGAGTTATTAACATCTTTAAAATATAAACAACTGCTCCCAAATCTAATAGGAAATGGGCAAATGTACCAATAAGATAGATTTAAAATATTGGCAGGAATTTAATATTTCTTAAAAGAAGAGTGTTTAGTAAATAAATGGGCATCTAATTGATAGATTATTATTCACACTGAAAATTATGGTTGAAAGAATGATGAAAAACATTGAAATATTAATTATAATAAAAAGTTTTTTAAATTAATATTATAAAACCCTTATTGTCATCAATCACTGTTTTAGGGGCTGTCCCAGTTGAGCATCTTGATGTAATACATTACAGATCTCCCATATCATCATCTTCCACTGTTAAAATTCTACAAACTATGGAGCCAGTGCAATAGAATTGGATTATGATTTCTAACCATAGCACTGCTAACACATCAATTTGATGTTAGGGATACTTAATATCCCACACTAGTGTATGTAAAATCCATGTTTGTTTTCTACTTCTAAAATGACATAAAAACACATTTAGATCATGTCAACTAACTACACTATTTATAAAAGGATTTTCCCATTCTATGTAATAATATATGACTTAAATTTATCTGTGAATTTAAATTTTTAATCAAATTACCCTTGTTTTGATCATTATGCTACTTAATTTTTATTTCTTCAGAAGAAGGCTAAAATATACCAAAAAGATATTACCTTTATCTTGAGGAGTAAGAAGCAAGAAGAAGTTCAGAAATAAAATCAATGTCCAAGTATGTATTCTGAATCAGCAGAAGATATGAAGCTAGCTCTTGTTGGACTTAGTCATAGCCATAGGAAGACTGAACAAGGAGACAAACATTAATGACAATCATATACTACTTCACTAATGGGGCAATTTTGCCCTATGTGTAAATTTATTCTAGTAGCTGCCCTTTCTATTCATTAGCTCCATCTGGACATCAGCAGTGGATACAGTTACTCCTCAGCTAAAATCCTTGAGACTTAAGACAGTACAGAGATGAATATTGATGTAAAGCTAAAAGCTCTATAAAAATTATCACTGCTATTGTTCAACTTTTCCCCTGAATATTGATGAATCAGAACTGAAAACTATCCCCTTACCTAAACTCGATTCTATGCCAGACAATAATAAATTGATTTCCTTTCTGAAAAAGAATGCATGGTAACACAGTAAATGATCATTTTTCATTTGAAAGAAGTAGAAATGTTATTTGATCTGTCATATGGTGCCTTCCTACTGGTTTCATAAGTCCTAATTCTTCCCAATATCTATTACCTGACCAAAGCCTCCTTAGGTGTATGTTATGATTACATCCTTACTATGACTGGATAGCTAATGCCACAATAGTCATTATTAATCACTCAGTAAATACTTCTGAGTACCAGTAATGCCAAAGACAGACCACTGGCAGAACTAGATTGCAGACTTTAAGTCTTGTCTCATTAGTACATTAGTTTAGCAGCAAAAAAAAAAAAAAAAAAAAAATGGTTTATCAAAGTAATTATTAATCATCTGAACTATCTGAACAGATATGAGTTAATAATTATCTGAATTATGTTTACAATGTTATTAATGTCAGTACTTGTATTTTATTATTATAAGTTCTCTAGATTCTAAAAGAATGAAGTTCCAGCGAAAGGAAATATCAAAAAAGGTGGGTATGGGAGTGATGTGGCAACTGTAAACATCGAGAAATAAACCATCAGAAATGTGGCGTCCTACGCGTGGGAAAAACCTAAATATAGGGACAGTCATAAAGACAACCATGCCTCCTTCACATTTCTCACTAATTTTTCTTCTATAGCAAATCATTCACACTCATCATCTGTTTTAAATTCAAGTGCTTAAAGTATAATTTTCTGAGAGTGGCTTATATAGAACTACTTTGTGTTCTCTATCATTTTTAAGGGGACTCTAAATTGAAAAGTAAAATGTCCTTATCATTGGTTTCAAATAAAATTGCAACTTTGCATGTGAGAACAGAATGTACTTTGTCCCCTCCTCTTTTGTTTACTTAATTAATGACCTGAAAACAAAATAAAAATTGTGATACATTCATAGAATAAGGTGATATATTGAGTTTGGAATCCTTGCTACAATCCAAAGTGAAAAATTGCAGAAAATAATATTGGCAGATTTTGCAAATAGATACCTAATGAAGGACAACATTAAGTTACTCTACTCATTAAGTAATTCCATTGAAATGCGGTACAATCTAGTATCTTACACCTGTGAATAAAATTTATTACACAGGTAATGTCTTACACTACCTAATGAAAATGTAATGCATTTTCTGATACAAGTGAAAATATGTTCATAATTTTATTTTGCCTATGTATTCATTTATTCAATGTGTATTTATTGAGAAGCTACCATGTGCCAGGCATTGTTCTAGGACTGGGCATGTAATACTGGACCAAACTGACAAATCCTTTGCCCTTATAGGTCCTTATATTTTCCTAATGGGAGATAGACAACTACAAAAATAAATATTTAATAACTTTATGGGCCAGGCACAGTGGCTTACACTTTTATTCCCAGCACTTTAGAAGGCCATGGCAGAAAGATAGCTTGAGGCCAGGAATTTGAGACCAGTCTGGTCAACACAGTGAGACTCCATCTCTACAAAAAAAATATTTAATTAGCTGGGCATGATTGCACACACCCACAGTCCCAGGTACTTGGGAGGCTGAGGTGAGAGGATCACTTGAGGCCAAGAGTTTGAGATTACAGTGAGCTTTGATCACCCCACTGCACTTCAGCCTGATTACAGAGCAAGATGCTGCTCCACAAAATAAAAAATAAATTTAAAATGTTCTTGAAATAAAAAATAAAGAAAAACAACCAGAGGAAGAGAATAGAAATGACAGGGCTGCCATTTTATATATTGTGGTCTTGGCAGGATGCTAAAAAGCTGAACAGAATGAGGGGCCAAGTCTTTCAATTACATAAAGAACTTTCTAGGCCAGGAAATAGTAAGTCCACTGGCCCTGAGTTGGGAATGTACTTGAGATGTTTGATGAACATGCTTGAAGTGGGGTGAGTGAGGGAGAGAGTAGAAATGTCAGAAAAGTACTGAAAGGACAAATCATTTACTCCTTAAAAGCCATGATATATGACATAGGGTAATAACTAAGGCTATATATTTCAGAAGAAAGCCACACAAAGTAAATTTCTGTGAGGATCTTCAGCTGCTACCGTGATCCAAAAGTCCTCACACTTTAAAAGTTGACTTTTGGCTCTTAATATTTGTGACAAGCTATAGCAAGGAAGACAGAGAAGCAGAAGGGAAAAGTTAGGAGAGGAAATACATTTGGATTCGTGGTAGAACACACTTCCCTCACTGCTCTGAAAAATAATCTATCTCGTTGTTCGGAAAGGTATTTCTCGTAAGATGTATTTGCTTTACACTCTAGAATCTGGTCTTACTGACATCAGGCCCTCCAGGGCCTTTCAACTAAGCCAACAACCTGGTCCTCTCCCTCAACAGAGTTATGTAATCCAGTCAGCGTAGGTTGAAACCATTCGCTCTGTGTTCCTATTTGATATCCATTTCTATACATCATAGAGAACCACATCATAACGGTGACAGGAATTACAATGCTGGTTAAAGCTGAAAGTGTGCTAAAATATCCTGCCTACATGATAAATTAATATGATGATTTAGAATCTAGTCTTTGAATAAGGGAGAAGAAAGTGTGGTTCCTTACAATACCTCTCAAGCTCTGGTCATTTCTTCTGTAGGGGTGACATCTCTTCAATCCAATTTGAATCACCAAGTCTTTTCCCTCATTTATATGTTCTAGAGTGCTTCTGTAACAACATTAATTGAACATGAACTACAACAAGACATTTCACCACTGATTGCAGAACCTCATTTAAAATGAGGTTTTACATAAAATACAGGCTTTTGCTTGTGGAAAATAAGAACTTGTTCCATACATCAAGCACTCTGTATATTAAATTTGAAAGAGAAGTCTAAGGCCACTAATTTTCCTATCTGATACAGAAAGCAAGCACATCAGTTAAAAACAACTTTCATCTGCTAACAATGAGTGTTTGCCAGTTACCCAGTATAAATATCAAACCTCTTTAATAATGTGATTTTTTTTTTTCTTTTTTTTTTGGAGAATGCTGTCTCCAAACTAAGTCCCTAATGCACAAGTGATAGTAAGAGCTAATGAAAGCAGCTACTCTATTGTAGGCATACTGAATCAGGATGTATTCATGTCAGGCTAAGTGGGCCCTAATTACAGTCACAAGGCAGCAATGTCAGCTTGCCACAAATATAAGGTACTCCTCCTTGCCACATATTTATCATGAGAAGGTTTGCTCTCCCACAGACAGCGGTTGCTTAAGTTATGCATGTTTGTACTGTACGACTCTGCTCCATCTCTGGTCATATATTACTGGACCAAGTTATAACCTGACCAAAGAGATAATTTATTGGCTTGTCAGAAGCCAGTGGGAATCTGTTTAGATCTTTAAAATGAGACAGCATTTTAAAGTTGGGAGTTGGGAGATGAGCCCAGTATTAGAATGAAAATCCAAGAGCATCCTTGGACTAATGAAATATTACTGTGGCCTTATATTTCAATATTTCTTTGTATTCCATAAACTACTATAAGAGTGTTGCTTTTATTTAATTTGTATTTAAGTCATTCTGAAATGAATTTCTGTGATTCAAAGCAACAAAGTTTTGATAGAGAATGCCACCATGAAAAAAAAAACACAGAAATCATGTTCTAACTAACAGAGTCACTCATTGAGTAATTGACAAATTGCTGGACGCTCAGGGCTGACAAGTGTGAGAATTTTTCAAATGTTTTCAAAACTTTCAGTAAACTAGGAATAAAGAGAACTTCTCCAATTTGATAAAGAGCATCTATAAAAAATCCTACAGCTAACACCATACTTAATAGTGAGAAACGTGAAGTGTTTCCACTAAGATGAGGAACATAGCAAAAATATTCCCTTTCATCACTGTTTTTCAACATTGTACTAGAAGTCCTAGCCAATGCGATAAGACAGGAAAGGAAAGAAAAGGTAAACAGATTAGGAAAAAAGAAATAAAACTTTCTTGAAATATTCAACAAAAATCTCCTGGAACTCATAAATGATTGTAGCAAGTTTGCAGCATACAAAGTTAACATACAAAAGTAAATCACTTTCTTATATACCAGCAACGAACAAGTGGAATTTGAAGTTAAAAATACAATATTGACGTATTGACTTCCACTTTCAAAATGGCACTGTAGAAACAAGCAGGCTTCATTCCCCCTCACAGAAAATAAATATACAGCACTGAGATTATCACTGGCAATACCTCCACAACTCAAATATGATGAGTCAGTTCCCAGGGCCACAGAGAACTAAAAAAAAAACCTCTAAGCAGATGATAAGAGAATGGGATTTTCATATCTGTGATGCCCCTCTGTCCAATCCCCCTGGCACCAAGCATACAGAAAATTTCCTTCAACTCAGCTTCTACACTGCAAAAAGTGAGATCAAGGTAGACAACCAGTTTTCCCACCATCTTGGGTTCTTTGGCAGAAGACCTGTGCATGCTCATACCCACAGGAAATATTACGAGTGCCTAAAGGGAAACATAACCCTGAGGACAGCCAGAAACAGAGATGGAAGGTGGGACTATCATCCCCAGCCCTGAAAACTCTGGTCTGTAACTCAACCAAAGGAGACACCAAATCAGAGTGGCTGTTCGGAAGCACCACATCTTAGGAGGTACATTCCACAGTGCACCTGGCCAGGAACCCCTGGACAGTCGTTCCACACTGCCAGTATATCCCCTTTGGGACCTCCCCGATTCTGGATAGTCAGCACTGTGTTTGCTAGAGGTGAGGCAAATCTGGACTTTAGGCTCAATGCAATGCTGGAAAGCAGACAGTAACCCAGTGGAAAAAAATACAAGAAGTTCAACAGGAAATTATGAAGACTCTCTAAACAAACATAACCAATACAAAACAAAACAAGCCAGACAGCGAAGAATGGAATAAGTTATCTTTCAGCACTAAGACATAGATGTACAACCACAAGAAACAACAACAAACAAAATTAAAAATCAAATAATTATTAAAAACTAAAAATTAAGTAAAAATACTGGTTACATTATCAAACAGGCATAAATCTAACAAACTGTGTACAAGATCTGTATAAGGAAAACTACAAAACCCTCATGAACAAAATCAAATAACTAAATTAATGGAGAGATATTCCACATACATGGGTAGGCAGATTCAATATTGTCAAGATGTTAGTTCTTCCCAGCTGGATCTATAGATTCAATGCTAGCCCAATCAAAATTTTAGCAAGTTCTTTTGTAGATATCAACAAATTTATTCTGAAGTTCATATGGAGAGTCAAAAGACCCAGAATAGCCAACACAAATTTGTTTTTTTGTTTTTGTTTTTGATTTGTTTTGTTTTGTTTTGTTTTTTTAGATGGAGTCTTGCTCTGTTGCCCAGGCTGGAGTGCAGTGGCGCGATCTCAGCTCACTGCAACCTCCGCCTCCCCAGTTCAAGCGATTCTTCTGCCTCAGCCTCCTGAGTAGCTGGGACTATAGGTGCCCACCACCACACCCGGCTAATTTTTTGCATTTTTAGTAGAGACAGAGTTTCACCGTGTTAGCCAGGATGTACTTGATCTCCTGACCTCGTGATCCACCAGCCTCGGCCTCCCAAAGGGCTAGGATTACAGGCATTGAGCCACAGCGCCCGGCCAGGTAACATAATTTTTAACATACCTATGCGGACAACTGCCAAGACCAAAGAGAAGGGCTCAAAGTGAATGGATTCCTAAAGGTACTTAGCAGAAATTGCTCGGAACTCAATAAAGGAAATCTCTCAGCTATGACATACCTCTAAGAGTATTTCACTAAAGGGCCATTTTTTTTTCTTTTAAATCACATTTAAAAAATTAGTTTTACCATTCATGCAGAACACCAAACCTATCAAGGTACCTGAAAAATCCTTTTGGTGATTGAAAAAGTGATTGGCTTTACCCAAAGAGCCTCACAGCAGCTCCCAAGGTTGACTGTAGAATTAGAATGGTTTCTGTAGAATTCTGTAGAATGGTCTGTAGAATGGTTGACTGTAGAATTAGAATGGACTGCAGAATTAGAATTAATGGTTTAGAGACTTGCACTCTCAAGCAACTGATTTTGTACCTCAGAGCTGGTGTCATTAACCTATTATGTTCAGGCTTCTTTGCACCTACACCTTGAACCCTTTCACTATCAAAATGTATGGATTTAAATATATTAGAGCAAAATAATCACAAAACTGAATTAAAATGAGTCCATAAATGGCTCCCTGGTTTAAAGTAGGATGTCAGTGCCATTCTGAGAGTGGCCAGTACCACTTCACATCTGTCAGGAGAATTGAATTACCCGATCTAGAAAGGCATCTACCTGAGTGTGACTGTGAAGGTTTTAAATAGTCACTACTACCAGATCTCCTCGTCTATGACGGAGTTTAACATTCCACCCATGTCACAAATGCTTTAAGGTCCTTTCTGAATGACAGCATTCTGCCTAAGTTTTCTGGGGCTGCCTGCCAGAGTCAATCTCAGCTAACATCCTCAGGACACACTTGGATCTCTCAATAATGCTGCCCCCATAAGAAGAGAATGTCTCGTGCATTGCCAAGTTCAGGAGAGAAACTGTTCTCTTGTCCATCTCTATCACATTAAATCAGGCTAGTGGCCAAAACTTTCTTAAATTGGTTTCAGAAATCTAGAATTCTTCTTTAGATTATTTTTTTATAGCTCGGCAGTTTGATGTATTCCTTTCAACTCACAGATTACTACTGTATTCTATTAAAACAAAGGGAAAATATGTATTTTATTTTGTTAAGCTCCCAACATTACTAATGCAGAAGATTTCCTACTATGTGTAGGATAGCAGGACATGCCATGTTCCAGCCTTTATTTGACTTAACTGCCAGAGAGCTAAATTTGATGCAAAGTCTTATTTTATACAACTGACAGGTAGGGTCAGATTGTAAGAAAAGCCTTATTTATTTTAGCAAAGAAAAGGAAAAAAGTGTATGAAGGAATAGGAAGAATAAAATTATACAATAAATGCTGCCTTACTACTCTAACATGTCTAATCCTGAGCACTTGTTTCTCCTCAGTGTGACATTAAACAGTGTTCCTACAGTATAAGTAGATTTATTTTCTTTAAATTCCATAAAGCTGTAAATGACTTAGATAGAAAGATAGGCTATTTAGATGAGTAAAACAGTACAATCATAAGCAATTTTTAAAAATTGCTCTGGTAGATTAATTACCTTGGAGTTTTCTCTCTCTTTCCTCTGTGGTGCTATTTTGGGGAATTGCCTATTACTTAAGGAAACCTGAAGCCAATGCCTTCCCAGTCTCAATATCTATCTTCAGGATTGCTGGAGACCATACCAAAACACTATCACTTATGTTCTTATCCCCGGCTACTCCCAGGCTTCACTCACAAGCAAAGTTTATATCATCAAAACCTAAGGATATGACTTCACCTATTCCTCTCATGTCTCAATTGTCGAGAGCATCCAGTTAATGAAATCAAGATTAGAAATCAAGTCTAATCTATGTTGGGATCAGATGTCCTCCTTCTATTCTATAGCTATAGCTTGCTAAATAAAAAATGCTTTCCCAGAAAACAATGATGACCAGATGAGAGGGTACGAGCGGATGCATAAAAACCTTCCACTCAGTAGAAAAACAACTCCAGGGTATGCCACAGACATGGAGCATGCATCAGCAGATGCAGTACTGGGCAAAGAGGAAAGTGAGTTGTAACAACCATGGAATGACTTAACCACTGAGAACACAATCCATAGAATAACAACAACAAAAGTCACCTGCCTTTTATATTAATTACACAATCCGAATTTTAGATATCTTTTTTTCCAAGTGATCATATGAAAAATTGCCTGCAAAGAAATACGTGGTAAATCATAAGTGAGAGAATTATCAACCTAAATCCTAAGTTCAGCTCTCTTCTACTCTCCCAGAAGGAATCTTGTGATTCCATAGCTCACTAGCTTTGACAACACACACACACACACACACACACTCATTTGCTTTGCTATTGCAAACACTATTGTAACTCATTCTCTATTTATATATAAAATGCTTACTAAACATATAAAATGTGAAAAGACATATCAGTACCATATTGTATTTTGCTGTAACCTAAATCATTGCTTTATTTTTCATAGTCATAAATGATTCCCTTATGGCTTTGTCATAACCCAAAAGATGAAAACTTCTTTAGGTGACTTTCCAATCACTCTAATTTTATTCCTAACTTTGGTCTAGAAAAGAAAACAAATTAAAATACCTTGAAAAAAAAAGATATTTTCTTTTCAAAGATTCATTCAACCGGAAGCAAAATGTTCCACTGTGACTTGACAGCCTCCCATTTCAAATCAGAATCAACTGAACTTGACATTGCTATTAAGCTGTGGCTCCTTCTTATTTCCTGGTGACAGGTGGCTTTAGGGCTTGGAGTCTGGACAACTGTCATCTCTTATACATTGAAACACTGATCTATTGTTCCATAAGAAAATGACTATTTTATCTATACTGTCCAAATATTCACTGTATTCTATCATCTGCAAGAATTCTATATTCATCTTACTTTCTTGATTCTTGCTCATGCAACATTACACAAGTGTTTATTGAGCCCCTGGGTGTCAGTCATTGTGCTATGTGATACTCTAACAACAAAAAATATCCTCTTCTCTCCACAAATACCTAGGGAGACAGGAAAAGAGGGAATTACAATGCTGCACAATCCATTACATTATACAACTCAGGGGAGGCTGATCAGCATTTAATTATTTTTTAACTTTTTAAAATTTTTCATTTATGTGGGTACAAAGTACCTGTACATATTTATGCAGTACATGAGATATTTTGATACAGACATACAATGCATAATAATCACATCAGAGTAAATGGACTATCCATCACCTTGGGTGTTTATCCTTTGTGTTATAAAGAATCCAGTTATACTCTTTTAGCTATTTTTAAATGTATAATAAATTATTGTTGACTATAGTCACACTGTTGCACTGTCAAATACTAGATCTCATTCTTTCTATTTTATTGTATGCATTAACCATCCTCACTCCCCAGCCCCCACCCACTACCCTTCCCAGCCTTTGATAGCCATCATTCTATCTCTATCTTCATGGGTTTAATTGTTTTAATTTTTACCACAAATAAGTGAGAATATAAGAAGTTTGTCTTTCTGTGCTTAGCTTATTTCACTTAGTATAATGACCTCCACTTCCATCCATGTTGTTGCAAATGACTGGATCTCATTCTTTTTAATGGCTGAATAGTATTCTGTTGTGTGTATGTACCACATTTCCTTTATCCATTCATCTGACTATGGACACGTAGTTTGCTTCCAGATCTTGGAAACTATTGGCTATTATGAATACTGCTGCAATAAACATGAGACTTCAGATATGTATTTGATGTACTCATCTCCTTTCTTTGGGGCATATACCCAGCAGCAGGATTACTGGATCATATAGTAGTTCTATTTTTAGTATTTTGAGGAACTTTCAAAAAGTTACCTGTAGTGATTGTACTAAATTACATTCCCACCAATAGTGTATGAGTGTTCCATTTTCTTCACATCCTTATCAGCATTTGTTACTGCCTGTCTTTTGGATTAAAACCATTTTAACTAGGGTGAGATGATATCTCATTTTTGTTTCAATTTGCATGTCTGTGATAATCAATGATGTTGACCATCTTTTCACATACCTCTTTACCATTTGCACATCTTCTTTTGAGACATGCCTATTCAGATCTTTTGTCCATATTGAAATCAGATGGTTCGATTTTTTTTTCCTGATGAGTTGTTTGAAACCCTTATATATTCTGCTCATTAATCCCTTGCCAGATGTGCAGTTTGCAAATATTTCCTCCCATTATATGGGTTGCCTCTTCACTTTGTTGATTGTTTCCCTTGTTGTTCAGAAGCTTTTAAACTTGAAATGATCCCATTTGTCCATTTTTTGCTTTGATTGCCTGTGCTTCTGGGATATTACTCAAGAAATTTTTGGCAAGAATAATGTCCTGGAGATTTTCCCCAATGTTGTCTTTTAGCAGTTTCATAGTGAGAGATCTTATATTTAAGAATTTAATCCATTTTGATTTGATTTTTATATACGGCAAGAGATAGAGATCCAGTTTCATTCTTCTGCATATGGATATCCAGTTTTCCCAGTACCGTTTATTGAAGAGACTGTCTTTTCCTCAATGTATGGTCTTGGCACCTATCTCAAAATGAGTTCACTGTAGATGTATAGATTTGTTTCTAGATTCTCTATTCTGTTTCATTAGTCTATTTGTCTGTTTTTATGCCAGTACCATGCTGTTTTAGTTAATAAAGCTCTGTAGTGTAACTTGAATTTAGGTAATATGATTAATTCAGTTTTTTTTCTTTTTGCTCAGGATAGTTTGACTATTCTGGGTCTTGTGTGGTTCCATATGAATTTGCAGATTTTTTTTCTATTTCTGTGAAGTATATCATTGATATTTTGATAGGGATGGCACTGAATCTGTAGATTTATTGGAGTAGCATGGACATTTTAACAATATTAATTCTTCCAGTCCACAAGGTGGAACATATTTCCAGTTTTTTTGTGTGTCCTCTTCAATTTCCTGCATCAATGTTTTATAGTTTTCATTGTAGAGATCTTTCTCTTCTTTGGTTAATTACTAGGAATTTTACTTTATTTGTAGCGATTGTAAATGGGATTACATTCCTTACTCCTTTTTCAGATTTTTCACTGTTGGCATATGAAGGTGCCACTGCTTTTTGTAAGTTGATTTTGTATACCGCAACTTTACTGAATTTGTTTATAAATTCTAATAGCTTTTCAGTGGTCTTTAGATTTTTCTAAATATAAAATTATATGCAAACAAAGATAATTTGGCTTCTTCCTTTCCAATTTGGATGCCCTTTACTTCTTTCTTTTATCTGATTGTTCTACCTAAGACTTTCAGTATTATGCTGAGTAAGAGTGGTGAAAGTTGGCAACCTTGTCATGTTCCAGATCTTAGAGGAAAGGATTTTAGTTTTTCCCTATTCAGTGTGATACTAACTATTGGATCTATCATATATGGCTTTAATGTGTTAAGATATGCTCCTTCAATATCCAGTTTTTTTAGGGTTTTTATCATGAAGGGATGTTGAATATTCGCAATTTTTTTGCATCAAATGAAATGATTGTATGGTTTTTGCCCTTC